ACTGTTAGAAAGCAAATCCAGAAGGATGATGATGACTCTGAAATCTTCTCCTGTAACATTTGTTCTTATAGAGCTTTTAGCAAAAGTGTTTTTCAGAATCACCTTCTGCGCCGCCATCAACAAACTTTAGAGGAAAACGAAGCAGAACAGCATAGTGAGAAAAACGCACAACCATCTAAGGAGCTACACGTGCCTACTACTAAAACTTCTGTGGAAGATGCAGAGATTACATCTAAAATCTCTATAAAAAACCAGATCCCCTCCAAAAGAGCTTGTTCACCAAGTGACTCCAATGACATTTCAGACTTATTCAAAAATAGCAAGATTAAGAGAGGTCTCAAGTCTCAACTGACAGAGTCAAAGCTGGACAAATCCATAAATGTTCTCCTATCCCGACAAAGACATGGAAAGAAAACTCCAGAACAGAGGAAGGAAAGCAATAATCTCAGAACATCTGTTCAGGATTCCAAAGGTGACAACGATGACTCTGATCAGCTGCCAGGAACATTGACTATTAAGGTTGAAGATTCAGCTTCATCTCCAAATGGCCATAGGATGACATCCAATGCTGCCGAAATAGATCAGTCAACAGTCAGAAAGTCACCGTCTAAAAGGAAGATGTCCATCCCATATCGCAACACCTCTGACCAAGCTTCATGCTTCATCTTACCAAAACATCTGCCAAGTCCCAATAAAATGAACCAAGAAGAGGAAGAAGAGGAGGAAGAAGAAGAAGAGGAAGAAGAAGAAGAAGAATTGTCCGACTATCAAGACAAAGACATTTTCCAGTTTAACGATACAGATACAGATGCGGACACTGACCTTTTTGACAACGGTATCAAGAAAGAAAAACAAAACATAATTTATACCTATAGCAGAAGAATGTCCATGAGGGGTGCCCTGCAGGCGTCTAAAAGGCTATTTGAGAAAATAAAGACTGAAGAGCAAGACCAAACCGACCCTGAAATCAAAGAAGAATGCATAGAAACGGAAGTCTTCCAAGAAACCATTGACTCCCACGAAATACCACTGAGTGAAGACTTCACAGAGGATTTTGATTTGGAGTTGGAACCGGGCAGCAAGAACTGTCCATACTGTCCTGCAGTCTTTGAATCGGGTGTTGGATTGTCCAATCATGTCCGAGGGCATCTTCATAGGGTTGGACTGAGCTACAATGCACGCCATGTAGTGTCTCCTGAGCAGGTGGCATCTCAAGACAGAAGGCCACGAATTCGACGAAAGATTTCAGCGTTCCGGAGATTGAAAAAAGGTAATTGCGTACTTATTGCATGTTCTTCTATTAAAGGGAATCTATGCTTTATTACAACTTGGCTTTTATTTTTATGACTCTGGCCATCCGTGCCATATGTTATTTTTGAGCAATAAACTTAACAAGTAAGTCCTCAGATTTTCGAATGTGGCATCAGCTCTAAAAATAGGTCCACTAGGGCAACAAACAACAAGGGGTCAGACAATCATACAGGTTGTAAACAAACCCCAGATTAGTCAGTTCTTTGATAAAAAGATAAGAGCTAACAGTAAAATGAGTTTACAGACTGACATCTTAAGTCAACTATTACCTAAGGTACTGAACATAGTCGTGCACACTTTGTTTTTTCGACGAAATGAAAGATTATTGGAGACATTCTTGGTGTGCTAACTTTCGGTTCTACCTCCCAAATGAAATTGTAACTATTCTGGACAAACTCGGCTTGTTATAAACCTACATGATTGTACGTTGCCCCATTGAACCTCTTTTTAGCCATCTATTCATAATCATTTGGGGAGTTCAATGTTCTCACTACCAATTCCACCAATGGACAAGGCAGCGAAAATAAAACCCAAGCTTTGAACTGTAGTTTTCTGTTATATGTACTTAAAAAAAGTTAAGATGTGTTTAAGATTGTACATGTATTGTTAGCTTAACTGCCAAGCGTAAACAGTGCTGAACAGCTGTTTACGTACGTTTACGTTTTCTTTGTTTTTTTTCAGCGTTACAGCTGGAGTCAGAATCTGAGACTGTTAAGACCATTCACTCCTGTCCGTTATGTGGGGACTCATTTGATAACAGGACTGGACAGTCCAACCACATACGAGGCCACCTCAAAAAGCTTGGTAGAAGTTTTGCAACAAAAAACAAATCCCCATTATTTTTACTCCGGGAGTTGATGCGCGACAAGAAGGAGTTCCAGCGGGCAATTCAAATCCTGGGAAAGAGACGGAACCATTTCCAATATGGTGCTTCACCGAAGGTGTCCAATGTTGATCGTTTCACGCCGTCGCCCATTGGAATCCCAAAAAGTAATTATTTTCCAAGCGTTTGCGCTGATGCCAGAGCAGTGATGCCCACATTTTCTTTAGTGGAAATGGAATCTGAAAAAAAGCAACTAGACACTAAGTTGGATGTTAAAAATTCACTCTCGGGGACGACTGCCTTGATAGGAATTCTGAAGAAGAGGAAGTGTCAGGAAGACGGGAGAATAAAGGGGTCTTCTCACATGTCAAGAAACATGTTGGCGGTTTCTTCAAACAATGAGCACAGTTCAGGATCAAGACTTGCATCTTCACTGCCAAACTTGCTATGCGGTAAGTTAACTTCCTCAGTAGTAACCAGAAGGTAAGACTAGAAGTGGAATTCTCCACTTAGACACTTGATTCATTTCGTACAGTCTGTAAGAATCCTGTAATTCTCTTCATATTATTTATTGTCAAAAACTGTGTTGAATATCTCTAATATGATAATAGTCAATCTAATAGCAACTTATTACACAAACGTGTATTTAACTTGAAACAAGAAAACTTACATGATACATAAAGAATGCAGTTAATAAGAAGTGTTTTTTAATTTTTGTGTACTTCAATTTTTGTAATATTGGCTTGTCAAGGGTCTGGCTCTATTTTCATGTTTGTGTATAGACTAGGTTATAAAAAGTTAAAAATAAAGATAAGACGAGTACATAAAAAAGCCAACCATCTACTACTAATATCCTGCATCAGCTTTTAAAGGCTCGGGGGAGGTAATTAAAATGTTTACTCTAAAACTCACACTGAGACATTAACATCTGCAGCAGTTGTTTTTAGCAAATATCTGAGTACTGATCATCAGATCTTATGTGTTGTTAAAGTAAGGTGTCATCAGCATAAAGGCAGAGAATGACATTATCAAAATACCTTCTGATTATGTGGCCTAAACTGATGAACATGTTGCACTAACCTTAATAGCGGAATAGTAGCAATTATACATTCATAGTTTGTTATATGGAACAAAGATATTTTTTTATCTTACACTGTGGGACTTTTATGAATTATAAACTTGCCAAACAAAGGGAACAAATAAGCACGATGTTATTTAGGATTTCACTTATTTGTTTTTCTTTGTATTTTGTGTCTTTTTACAGAGAAAGGTGAATTCAACAGGAAGGTTTGCGTCCACTGCAATGCAACTTTCCACAGTGGAGTTAGCTTGTCGAATCACCTCCGGGCATACACAAAACGAAAAAGGAATGCCTTACTTGACGGAAACAGTAAGTGTCATCAGCAACAGTTTAAGTTGAAGACGATGAAAACATCCACTTTAAGAGCGTAGTAGCAATCTGTGGCATAATTATCCACAAGCAGTGTTTTGATAAATACATTGATTGTAGTGAGTTAAATCACATTAATTTATAAAATGGTATGTGCCATTGCTCAGCAAATCAAAACTTTGGTCTTGTGCAGAAGTAAATGTTCCCTCCGTCTTCGATCCTGAGGATCCAATCCTGATAGTGGTGTCTGTGGGTTGGTTACGTGTTCCAATTAACACAATTGTTAATGATTGGAAGGTGGGGAAACCAGTGAAGGTTCTCATCCTTGTTGCTGCACCAGCGACTCATACCAATTAAAACTTCTATTAAGGAACTTGAACGCTCTAGCAATAGAGTTTTCAGAACAGACAGAACGTACCGGAGTTCTTCAAAATCTCAGACTGGGAAATTTGTCAAAACTGGCCCAAAATTTCACACACACATGGACCAACCTTTAGGCACAGAAATAAATTATATGAGTTGATATCAACTTACCTAAAGGATACCCTGTGATGTTTTTATGTAAACAACCACAGTTGTGTTTACATTCACAGTTTCTCATTCCTTGAGGCCTAAATAGAATAGATTTCCTTACTCATAAATCAGTATTTTTTTAATATGTCAAAACCTGCGTTGTTTCTATTCATCCTGTCTCGCTAGCAGTCTTCTTCCTCCACCACCACTTACTGTCAATCAGTGGATGAGCATGAAACCATTGGCAGGAATATGATGTGCCACATCACTTGTGTGCTCGGGATACAAACAAAACATTGCTCAACAACGTTACTCGTGGTCAAAACCTCCAAAGGGTACCTTTAACTCAGGATATCGATTTTTGTTTTTGTTTTTAAAGAGACAGGAATACTTGGCATTGTGTCATTGATCCAAGAACAAATAAACACATTCCATGAGAGTCGTCCAACAGCAGTATTTAAATTATTACTGTAGCAAAGGCACATTCACATATGAAGAGTCAGTTCATCCTACTGCTAGTTTAACTTGTATGTCCTGCTCAAAGCATTAAACAATTATATTTATTTATAGGAAAAGGTAAACAGCAGTGTGTCTTTACAGAAATAATGTCCCAGTTACTCAGGACAGTTTTCATAATGCTTCATTATGTTCATTACAATCTCAAGAAACAGAGAAGACTTTTCAGCCATTACTTCCTTCACTCGATCTTCTGACCAAAAAACTGTTGATCTGATCAGACATGCTGGAGATAAATTCTGCCTACCCAGTTGTACCTGAGTAACTGTTTCGGTTTTTGACAAATGAAATCCATTCACCTCCACTGTGTGGGTATGTCAGCAGAAATCTCAGACTGATACCTCAAGAAAGCTTTAGCCAAACCTGTCTGCGGGGCCAGATACCACAAGACGTTGTGATGTCCAAATTATAGTTATAATTAGTGTACCAGGGGTTATTTGTGTCCTCCCCAAGGTAAGGATCCAGAAGGGCGTCAGCGGGTAAGATATTGCAAAGATTTTAATTGTGGAGCTTGGTGGGTGCATCTGTGGGAGGAGCGACCTCTTCTTGGCAGAAAGCTTTCAGGGCCTACTTTTCCTTCGGTCACCGATCATCACACTTATATCTGGGGCCTTGTGTCATAGCTACTCTTGATTGGGCCAATACAGAAGAGACACCTCAGCCAGACCATTCACCTCACTGTCACGAGGCGAAAACATGAGTATGAATAAAGTGAAGGCTGCTAAGGTCCAGTCATCCAAACTGTCACTGACTGTGACAATTTTCACTAAACAACATCCTAACTTTTTTGTGGTTGTCATACACTTTGTGTCCATTTTTTAAATGTTAAATTGGCAAGGCTGTGCTGTGATCTCAAAGGTAGGGCTGTAAAGTAATACAGTTAATTCTGTCTTTCAGCATTCGACTGTAAAGCAAGGAGGCAACGCTCAAGGCCTGGCTCAAAGAAGAAGACACTGCCCTTACCACAAACTCCAGAGGAAATGTACAGGCTCACCTGCAGGTAGTGCTTGTATTTTGTTTATAATACTCAGTCTTTTTAAATGGCGGATAATATTGCATCTGCAGTCTAACAGACTTCAACAGTGATTGTTGCCCTGGGTAATTGTTGTGGTCTATTTGCTTCTGTTGCCAATCCACTTTATTTGTAAAACTAAAACTGCCTAGATGACTGAGAGGCCTATTGTCATGGATGTAGCCCAAACATGGTGAAACTGAGAGTGAAATTATATGTCGCAAACAATCATTGTGATGATCATGCATTGTAAAATAACAGCTGAACCAAAACTGGAACAACTAAATCTAAACAAAGGCAGCAAAACAGCAGAGGCCCAGTAAAAACAAATTGGTTGCACAGACTTTTATTGTAAGTTGACAATAAACACCAAATTTTGCACAATGAACATGATGGTAGTAGTAGTTGTCTTAAAAATGAGTTTAATTTGTTTTATACAGTTTGTCTAAAAAATAAATTGAATCTAAACCTAAGCAATGTATTAAGTGAAGTTCTGATTTTGGCTGGCCTCTCCTGTTCATGCGCACCAATGGAAGCATTGGAATCATAACAATATGCAGGTATTTGATCATAAACCAAGTTATTATTAAAAATGTAATTTAGACCTCTTGGTGGCACCAGATAAAACATTAATTGATCACCAAAGTTATTGCAATTCATCCTGAGGGGGACATGACTGTCAGTACAGCTTTTCATGGCATCCAATAACTTTAGTCTGGATCAAAGTGGTGCCACCGGCCTCAGACCGGTGCTCCTATCCCTAGACATGCTGCTAAGCGTGGCTCAAAACCACTGCGTGTTGATCCGTTATGTTCAATCTCTTCTTCTCTTGACAGGTTCTGTGACCTCGTCTTCCAGGGTCCCTTGTCGGTCCAGGAGGACTGGATCAAACATTTACAGAGACACATTATGAACACTAGTGTCCCTCACACTGGGCTAAGCATGGTAGAGGTCGCCTTGCTGCCCGCGGACTCCCCGACCCTCAAGACTGACCAAGACAGCTCTCTGACAGCCACACATGCTGCTTCATGAAGCCAACGGGGACCTTTTTAGAGTTCACTGACCTGTATGTGTATGTACATTGGATGTTCTTTCACTCTTTTTTTTTTTTCTCCTCAATCGCTGACCCAAAAGTACAATATTGCTCAATGATGGAGATATTGTGCATGTTTGGACAGATGAAAAAAGTTAATTATTTTGGATATTATTCCTTTTTTCTGTTTTTACATGGTCCATTTTTTTGGAAATACAATTCCAAATGGACGGACTGTTTTCTTGTTTTATGCAGTAATGTAGTGTGGAATCCATTTCTAATGAAGACAACTTTTACCTCAGATTTCTCATGGTTTGAGTCCGTTTTTGTCAACACCTCTCTTCTGTATCACTATTCACATTTTAAAGATACATAGAATTATTTTTCTTTTGTATTGCAACCATGTTTAAATCCAAGCCCACAGCCTCTGTTTTCAGGCCACAGAGTTGGTGAGATAAATTCAACTGAAAATGACGGCACCTGAAAGCTCACAATTAACAGTTACAGGAATCGTGAGTGGAAAGGTGAGCTACTGTACAAGAAAAATGTCTGAAAACTTGTTATGCATAGAAAGTGTTTTATAGTATTTCAATAACTGCATTGTTTCTAATACAAAAACAAAATGAAAAATGACGGTGGTTAAGAAAAAGACACTCGGCACAGCCAGTGCTGACGAAGCCCTTCATACATGTCACCTATATTTAATGTTTAAATATACTGTTTTCAAATTATTTTATTTCAAATGTACTATATCACAAAGATACAATGCTTAAAACATTTGTGTTCTAAATAAAAACAAAAAGAAACAAGTTGACTTTTTTCAATCATTTTTTTTCCACACAAATTATAAAAACATTGAATCTGTACATTTAGAAAATGACACACTGACTAAATGGTGATGACCTGGGAGTACTAGACTGTGTACAAAGATGCAAGAAAATCCATATTGTGAGAACAATATGCCTCCATTTTATTTGGACAAATCCTGAATGACACAATCAATGTACTTTCTTAGCAATCTACTGTACATTAGTGGTGCTGCAGCATTTATGTGTGGCTGTGACTGATGTTTGAATCAGTGTAAACAGTATTTTGGAGTCTTCCAACGATTTCCATCATTCAAATGGGCTGCCACCCTGAAAGAAAAGAAAACATTAAGGAATCTGATCGCTGCATCTGAGGAGTGTGATGTAGTCCAAATGCACTCCATTTTAATAATAAACACTAGTAGCCTTGGTGGGTACTATTTGCTAGTGCTACTAATCATATGAAGTGTACTAAATACAAAATAAAACTGAATTGTATCCAAGCAGTCCCTAGTTAAAGTGCCATGTACACGCATGGAATGAAAGTGATAATGCTGCTTCAGGAAATGAATCAAGTAATACATTCAATATTAAAGAGAATGATCTACTAAATTAAATACGTATCTTGCATGTTTAAATTCTGAATTTAAGGAAATATTTACCAAGAGAGTTCCTCCCTGTTTTTCTAGGCTCTGTTCTTTGTTCATTTTTCCATGACGCCATTAGTTGTACTGCGTTTTGCTAAATACCTTCAGGAAGTGTTCAAACTGAGGTTTCAGCTCCTTCATCATGGTTTCTGCTTTGTCGAGGCAAGAACGTCTCTGCTGCACTTGAAACTCCTTCAGGAAATCAATCGGCATCATGATCATCATCTCTTGAACGCGTCCCTTCTCGGGCCAATGTTTAATAAACAAATAATGAAAAAAGAATGATGTATTATGCTCCTTTACAGCAGTGTTACCTTTATGTTGGTGAGGTGTTCCTGAGAGGCAATGTGGGTGTGCACTGAGGATGCAGACGTGGATACAAAGGCACTGCAAGCTGCACAGTGGAACATTTCAATCTTTGTCATGTGGTCATTTTCCTCCAGAGCTGACAAAACAAAAGTTCAGGCTGTATTCAGGTTTTGCTTGTCTCAAATAGAAAATACTGTAACAAAACAAGTGAGCATCTCTCCCAGTTTTTAAAAGATATTTACCTTGAAGAGAACCATCCTCTATGGCTCGGCTGCACTGATGGCTTTTATACTGCATGACTTCCTATATAAACATAAAAAAAGAGTTCCATCACCAACCAAGGAGCACCAATGCACCAACATTTGTTCATGTTTCTATGTTATATATTTATATATAAAAACCATTTGGAAGAAGTAGGACAATACTGCACAGATTGGGGATTCAACCCAGGAATCGTCAACAGGATGTTCAGTATTTAACCACATTATGTATCATCTTACCTGCAGGAAGGCTATAACCAGATCATCATAATTATTCTGCTGCTGGATGTGCTCCAGGGTGTCCCAGTGACTCTTGCTCTCCAAGTGATCCTCCAGCTCCCCACCATTGGCTAACTCAACTTCACAAAAGTCACAAGAGATGGGTCTCCTTAAAGAAAAACATGAAGTGTTGCAGAACAATAAAAAGATCCCATATTATCTTCTTGATTATAAAGCAGGTCTAGGTGCTATATAAATACTGTGAATGTCGGAAAAATGCTCAATGCACACAGCCCGTACTTAGAAACGGTGCCTGTAAACGAGCAGTCAGGACTTCCGTACAGTTGTGATGTTTATGCTATACAAGTGCTGCTAAACTCACTAGTGAGTCTCTGGCTGCAGTGACGCTGTGAAGACGGCGACAGCACAGATGCAGAAGATTGGTAAACACTGACCAATCAGAGCAAACTGGGCTTTTTCATGTAAACATGTTCAAGAAGAAACCCCAAATTACAAGTACAAACCTGAAAATAATCATGATAGATCTCCTTAAACTATTCAACAACCAGAAAGTAGACTTTTAAACGGCCTGAAGTCACCACACAAGTCTAAAGTGACAGTTTGTAAGACTAACAGCCAAAAGATTCCTAAATGAGTTAAGTTAAAACATCCATATCAGGTTATAAAGCTGTATTTAAACAAACTCACATTGACCAAACAGGAATTGATCAGAAGTGACGCTTAGCTGCAGAGTAAGTTGAAGCTTTGCAACTACAGCGGCTAACAAAGCTAGCAGAGGTGTAAAGATATTGGTATGAAATTCTATTAGTTTGCACGATGCTGACTATGTTCTCTCTCTCTCCCCTTGGTCTTTACACTGTACCACAAGGTGTTCTTAAGTGCTGTGACTGACATATTTGATTTACAACTAGTTCATTCAATCTGGCAACACGATTAACATTTTAGCTGATGACATCTAACAACTAGCCCAGCATAGGAACACAGCTGTGTGGATTCCTTCTTCTTGACAACATACTTGTGATAAATCCTGATAATCTCAGGACTGCAACCACACCGACAGCTGATGCTGCACACCAAGCTACTGGGACTGACTTTGGCTTCTGTGCAAACAGGCAGTGAAGTGCGTCGTCCATCTATATTGGTTGAGGTTCTACGTTTGTGCCACAAGTTAGTCCTGCACGATTGTAGCCCGACTGTATCAGAGGACAAAATGAAACATGATGAAAATGTGAACATGGTTGTCCTTGTTGTCTCTATGGCCGGTGAGCGTGATGTGAATACACGTAACATCTTTAAACAATCATGCGTCTTTGGTTCTTACTTGTCCATTATTATATTCATATTCCCGTTTCTTGAGTCCTCTGTGGAAGGTGAGTCTTGGTCCTGTCCTGTAGAACAATATTATACACAGAATTATTATTCGGCTCATAGAGGAAATACACTACATGTACACATGACAAATATGAAGAACTGTTTCTCCTATATTTATATTAACTTCTCCTATATTTAATTTGAAACGGTGAGACATAACACCAATTTACCTGTTCCCAAGTATTTCAACTGTTGATAGTCCTGCTGTAACCTGGGGGGGGATAATCTAACAGCAGTGTTCATCTACAAAGGAGAGAACAGGCTCTAATTAGTATTAGTTCAAATTAATAACAGAGTACAACAAACAGAGCCAGTATGCTGTATTAGTCTACATCTCAAAATTAAATATAACCACAGAACGCAAACTGTATAAATATGTTAATTCAGAAAACAAACATGACAACTGTGGTATTTTCAGTCTTATTGGTGATACCTCTCTTTCGTATTCTGGGATTATTATCCTCTCCTCCCCGTCGATCCTCTCTCCTCCATAACATGCAGGAAACTGTTGGGCGGAGGAGGCGTGAATAAGCCTGTCGGGGCTGCACACCCTGTGGTCCAGAGGGCTGCTTATGGAGTCATAACCCGTTTGATCAAGAGATTCCGTGTTGAGGCTATAAGCCTGTTGTTCAGGCAGTCTATGACCTGGACTGAGACCTTCACTCTGGGTGGGTCTGGTTTCAGGGCTAAAGTCACATTTGTCAAGGGGGTGGCTCACTGACTCAGAGTAGCATGACCCCCAGCGGCGCTTTTTACGGAAGCCACTACTTGGAGACGAACACTGGCGTCCCAGGTCGCAATCCTCATCATGAGGGGATTTGTTGTCGTTTTGTAGCATCTCGTGCTCAGAGTCTGACGAGAGAGGGTCGTAAGGATCATACATTTCAACCCTGAGGGAGACAAATGAGGGATTAGTGTGTGTATGTGTGTGTATGTGTTATGCAATTTACTATTACATAGATCATTTATAAACGGGGATGATACCAATAACCACTTAATGCTTACACATACTAACAATGTGCTAACAAACTACATGAACTGTTGGGGAACGGGGCGAAAAATCTTTTTCTGGAATAAGATATAACTCATAAGAGGCTGTGCACATTTAGTGTCCATCTTTTTAAGCTCACACTGATCCACTGCTTCTTTCCTGCCACTTGCACTTTGACCTCAAGGTGCCACCTGGAATAATACATAACGCGGTCACCTTCAGACAGCCCATATTTCAGCGCAAGTCACTACAAGACAAAGTTAAAGGCTCAAATGTGGGATGTCCTGGATTGTGCAGACAGGAGACGTTAGTCTCTACCTGACACTTTAGGCCTTTCTCATTTCCCAGTTTGTACATCCTGGATTCCTTTCCTTGCCTCCTCTCCTGCCGTCCTAGTACTTCCCATGCATGGGAGATGCGAGCTGAGGAGGCGGGGAAGAGACGCGAGGCAAGAGGAGTTGAGGCAACAGGCATTTTTAAAAAAAATGAGACATCCATGACTCTGCGACATCCATGATTCTTTATTTTTGTTATACCACTATATGCTACGGTCTGTACAGATGAGCGTAAGTGTTCATGACAATATTTACTATAAATTAAATTCAAAAAGTTGCAGAATGTATGTTTGTGATTTACAACAATTAAGAGTGACATATGATTGAGTGATATATATGATATACACACAAACACAGTCCTGTCTATCTATATGACAATATTAAATAGAGTAAATTAGTGCTGAATGCAAGAGAATGTTGTTGTTGATATAGTAATTTGAGTCCCGCCATGGTTTGAGATCATTCCAGCTGTGCGTCATGCCTCTTTCATTCGCCACGAGTGCCAAAAAGACTTCTGCAAAGGTGTTTCCTCGCTTATGGCTCTTCAGACATGCCTCCTCGCTCCTCAAGAGGTATTTTAGGAATTGGGACATCCTTCAAGATGTAGCACCGAGATTGATTTCCAGGTCACAGACCAAAGGATCGAGGAACGAGGCGGCACGTAATCGAGAAATGAGAAAGGCCCCATGTCGGTATACTGTAGACATCACGGACTGGCTTACCTTTGTGGACTGTCAGTGTTTTTGTCCAGAGAGTCTTCTTGTTGTCCTAATGGTTTGAATGAAGACCTCCATTTATCCTCAGAACGTGTCACTGTAAATAACAATGGAGACAATAAAATATATGTTGACAGCCTGGTCAAATCAGAAGGATTACAGTTAGCCATACGTACAGCTAAACAACAATGAACTAAAGCTAGCTGTGTTTGGTTAATTTCCAATGACTTTTATAAGTTACTGGGACACGAATTAACACAACAATCCCAAATGATGACTTGGAAAGGGAATCTAAAGACATCTTTTCTGACAGTTTCAGGCAGAGATTGGTTTCTATGGATTTCTGTATGGAATCAAAATCGATCAGCAGATATGAAAATATGAACAAAAGATCAATTCATTGTGATAAATTACTGTCTGTGTAAGAATTTTTACATCATACAGAAATGAATCAAATCAGGTAATAACAGTAAACAACACAGCAGCATGATTCGTTAAATTGTTAGTTGTACTGATAAATCCAAGTAATTTGAAGTGAATGAGATTAGACATGCTAAACCACTGGTATGGCCTCATACGGTGTTAATCCCGAGAGCCTGTTTCTAGGTGTGCCTCAATGTCCACTGGAGTTACCTGCACGTTTCTGGGCTGGTTGTGTCTTAGCAGCCATGTCAGACAGACTGTTGTGTGTGTGGTTTGCTAGTTTCACTGGGATGTGTAGCATTGCTTCTTTGAAGTCCTGGGGTATTCTGTTCATCACAGAAAACAAACAGCTGAAACCATTGAACTGAACATGAATGCTAACATCAAGAAACCAGGCGAGCAAAGTTAGCTCGTTTAGCATGTTGTGCTGTTAGCTTTAGCTACATATAACGTTAGCTAACTAGTAGCCTCACACAGAACAGTTTATTGAAAATAACGTGAGGCAGTTAGTCTCGTGATAAACAAAAACACATTGTCAGACTCTGAAACTAACACAACAGGCGCTTTTGCTCGACGTTTATAATGTGAAACTTTCTCAAATAAATGAACGTTCAACACATTCGCTAACGTTAACGTTACCTTCCGAGCGGCTGTTGTGTGTATACTGGAGCTCCTCCTTTAGGTATTGCTAAAGGGTTTAACGTAAAGTTATTCTGAAGATTCATTATTTGGTTGCTTTATAGGAGCAGATATAACATGCAAGATGTGAGGCTCGTTCACCTACAAACTGCTGGTTAACAAACAAATGGCATCTCCCGACAGATGGCAGCACACTGCAATACATGACGGACCTGCCTCTGTACTTTTTTAACTGATCCGGACACACACGAACACCTGTATGTAAGTGTCCTGAACAGCTCAATTAGCTGCAGGGCCGCTATTGAACCAGATTTAAATGAGTCTTTCTACATTAGGTACAGTTTTTCTGTACGAAAGGCCTACATATACGCACACAATAATTAAAATAGCACAAACCAGTTGACAAGTTGGAGGCCTCTCAGGTTCCTGAAGGAGGCCTCAAAGGCCCCAGAGTGTACGTGTTGGTTAAATTTTTTAATTATATGTGTTTGAAAATATGTACCAGTAAAATACAATATCATATGACATGATCACAGCTTTAAAGTGGCCCTGCATTAGTCTGTATTGTCTACCTGTGTCATAATTTGCATCCTGTATATCCCTAAATATATTTGTGGTTAACTAGTGTACCACAAATAAAGGGTCAGTAGTGGCTCGCATCTCATTTCTGAACCCCCAGTGGATTAATCTGGTCATGGATTACATACAAATTATGATTTTTCCTGACACTGACACAATTTTGGAAACCATTGCAAATAATGTTAGTATGATACATGCTCGGTTATTACATTACATTACAGTCATTTAGCAGACGCTTTTATCCAAAGCGACTTACAATAAGTGTATTCAACATAGGTATTCAAGAGTACTACAAGTCACCAGAAGTCATAAGTGCATCTCCTTTTTTAAACAAGCATCTAACAGCATAAACCACAACAAAAGTACAGTGCAGAAACAAACTAATATGAATACAATAAGTGCAACAAACTAATATACATACAATAAGTGCTAAGTGGAAGGCTCAGGGTACTATTTCTTGAAGAGGTGGGTTTTCAGCCTGCGCCGTAAGATTGGCAGCAACTCTGCTGTCCTGACGTCAGTGGGGAGTTCATTCCACCACTGTTGTGGTTATACTATGCTACAGTGTTTATAGTGACTTCACAATGGAGAAAGAATGCACCCTTATTTTGAAATCTGTGACAGACTTCTAAAGGTATATTGTAATACAGAACATGATCTGCAGAGGAGTGCAGCATTTGTTCACAGGTTATTTACTCTCAACAAAGTGAATGAGCGCAACAGTATGAGCAGCAGTATGTGCTGACGCCTTTAAAAGCCAGGGTAGGGTATCTCAAGGACAGTTACATCATGATGTAATTTCTCAGACAAGTTCCCTTACTCGGAGGGTTACTGCAAGGCCATCAATTAGACTGTTGAACAGAAGGCTACATACATGCATAACATGCAATAACTCTATGACCTTGACCAGATGAACACAGAAACAGTGAAACTTGTATACCGTTTCCACATTTTAAATTATCAAACGCAGGCGAGACTAATAAGCTGATTAATTGCTGCATTGCAATCATTTCTGAGACAGAGGCATCGGTAATGTTATTAGATCCACATGTGTATTTCCTGCTATTATGAGTCAAAATAATGAAATGAATCTGATTCATTCACTTCGCTTTCTCATTGCAGCATACTGTGTGCTCCAATAACCACACTACCATACTATTTAGTATGCCAGAAAATACTTTGTATGTCCCAATACATAGTATTTAAAATGCAGTATTCCAAAAATAACAGGATTTCCTTCTGCATCCAGTCACATTTTGCAGTTTGCAAGCCAGCATGCAGCAGATAAATGAGCAAGAGGGTGAAAAGGTGCCATGTTATAACGAAGTAGAATGTCCCAATTGAATGCATACTGCATGCAACCGTACGTACTGTCTAAGGGCATCTGCAGCATGTACTGAAGTAAAGTATGCGATCCTTAACGCAGCTCAAGTGTTTTGTGGAGTGCGTCTGAAGTACACGAATAATGATTAGACATTCATCTAAAATCGTGTTTTATTGTGCCATAAAGCTGTGACCTTTGAGCATAGGATCACAAAGGTGGTACAGCAGCTCTGAAGAACACAAACTGTATATATAGGCCTACATAGAAATACATTGAGAAGAATGAAGGCAGATGTGTCGTCATTGTTCAGTTCTGACATGTTAAGTAATCAGTCCTACCGGTTTTATTACACATTTCAAACTTCAAAGCATGATTAAAAAGAGTTCCCTTTTATCAGCTCACGTTGGTCTGGGGACATGTTATCACAAAGGACATTCACCGTTCTTTAAATCAATATGTTTTCAATGTGCAAATGAATTACTAAAGGCCTTAGTATACAATCTCTACAACAGGAAGGTAAAGGTTAATTTCTGGTGCTTCGTCTCCACCTGAGTTTTCAACTCTAAACTCATTCCTTTGGCTACAAGACATTGAGAAAAATAAAGGTTACACGATTGAAATAAAAGTTAAAGCTACTGAGAAAGAAGTGTTGCATTGTGTCCTCTTCTATAACATGTAGAAATTGCTCTGTGGATAGTGTATGTATGAAAAACTGACAAGAAAACATTAACAATTCATTTTTGGCCTTGTGTTTGTGAAAGCCCTCACTGTAAAAAAAAAAAAAAAAAAAAAAAGCAGCAGTTAAGGCAAAAAAGATTGTTCCCCATGGTTACAATTATACCTGAGTACAAACAATAATGGAAAATCTACATACTGTGTCATTGGAGCAAACAGTTTTGGTCTATAGAGTATTACATAGAGAAGCTAGATTTCTAATGTTTTATTACTCAAAGCTATGAAAAGCCTAAATGCCAAAGAGTTGCTGAATTACATACTCAGCAACAAGTAAAACTATCTGTACCATTTTTAATACACAAGCAACTTAGACAACTCATTAAAATAATCAAGAAAATGCATTCATTTTTATGGATATTATAATAATAAAGAGTCTCCTCTTACATCCGTTATGCAGGCTTGTCATGACCTCGTGAACCACGAGTCGTGCTTTTTGTGCTATAAGCCGCTCGTAAAGGACGCGTTGGTCTCTCGGCTGAAGTTCTCCTTCACTTCCACAGGCAGTGCGTCAAAGAGATGGTCCTCCACAACCAGGCCGCTTTTGCGCAGCAGGCGACAGTTTCCCAGCTGGACGGGCAGTCTGTCCAGACAGTTTCCTCTCAGCTCCAGCTGAGTGAGCTGGACCAGTTGACCCACAGTCTCCGGCAGAACGGTGAGGGCATTGTTCCCCAGACACAGCGCCTTGAGCTTGGTGCATCTGAACAGAGGCTTGGGCAGCGCCTCCAGCTTGTTGGAGTTGATGGCAAAGTGCTGCAGATTGTAGAGGAGACCCACATCTGGAGGGAGCACTGAGATGGAGTTGTGGCCCACGTCCAAGTACCGCAGTTTAGGGAGAGTGAACAGGGCCGGAGGCAGGGTCTCCAGTTTATTGTGAGAGAGGTGGAGAGACTCCAGAGACTTGACCTGGCCAATGGAGGATGGGATGGTGATAACTTTGTTGTGCCACAGTTTAAGACACGTCAGCCTCTTGAGATGCTGGAAGCTGATGATCTCCTCGATAGTTCGGATGTTGTTCGATTTCAGGTCGAGTTCCTGCAAGTTGGTCAAGCTGAAAATAGCGTGGGGAATCCTCTCCAGTTCGCAGGTGTGCAGCTCCAGTTCAATTAGATTTGTCATTTTTTTCAGACTATTTAGTACCACCAGCTTTGTACCATCATTGTGCACTACGAGCTTAATCAGATGTGGCGACAGCTCTGTGATGTTTGTAGGCATTTTTGTGAGGTTGCTCTTCAAGCACAATGTCTTTAAATGCCTCAAATCTCGCATGGACTCTAGACCAATCATTTTGTTATTTTCTGAGCTCAAGTTGCCGATTAGGTTAAGTTCCCTTAAACTCCTCAGCAAGTACACCCATCCCGGGATCTCAGCAACGTCAGTGAACTTGACATGAAGGCAGCGAAGATGGTCACGGAGGAAAGCAAACCCTGTTTGCTCTACTTTGGCTGGACAGTGGCAGAGATGCAGCTCCAGCAGGCTGGTCATTTGGGAGACCTTTGCCGAAAACCTCACCTCAGGAATCAGCTCCAGTTTCAGCACTTCCAAGTCCGTGAGGTCAAACACTGCATTCGGAAGTCCAGAGAGCATGAAGAGGTGCAGCTCCTGCTGGTCCAGTGCGTTACGGGTCACAAGCTGCCTGAGTTTTTCAAAGGTCCACTCGTGATTGAGGCTGATCTCCCTAAGCTTGTTTTCACTGACCTCAGACAAGAAGACACCAAAGCGTTTGGAGTAGAGTTGGTCATACTGGTCAACCATGTGTAAGAGGAATGCAAAGTCATTTTTGACATCAGGAATGTCACTAAAGCTGCTCTCCTCCCGGACTTTCTCGAATGAGTACTCTTTCAGAGGCCGTCGAAACACCCAAAAGAGAGAGTACAAGCAAGCCATCCCGTAGATCAAAATCAAAGCCATGTAGCTAATAAGCAGCTTGTTCAGCATGAAAGCCATGTTGTGCGTACAGAAGAACTTTGAGTACCCCGTTAGCTGTTTGATATCGGGTTCACAATCGTGCTTGAAATTTATTTTAGCCAAAAAGGTTGAAGTGTAGGATAATATCAAAATAAACTTGACGGTTTTGACAACGGTCTGTGCTACATAAAGCTTGTAGATGAAATCACTGTCCTCCACATGAGCTCGGAATTTTCTTACTTTCTCAAACAAGGCTTTGGCCTGCTCCCCGTCTTTCTTGTCCAGGATTGTCATACTACTTGGTACCTCTGCGATGGGCTTATCTGCAGAGAACTTCACCCCGAGCATGGGTGTGGACGAGTTGACATTTGTGCCGTCGTCCTTCCCCTCTAAAGATACCTGCTTAGGTGCACTGGAGGTGCCGGTCAACCGTTGTTTGTTCTCCTCAGAGTCCTCACAAGCCGTTTCAGACAAAGCCTTCGTGGTCCAGGGAGACTCAAAGCATCTACCTAGAATCGAAACAAAATGCTCAATCTTTGAGCTTGTTTTGGGGTATTTGAACCAGAAATTGCTACTGACCATGAGAACAATGGTGTGGATGAGTGTGAGGTAAGGAAAGTACTTGGAATACCAGGGCAAGGCAACATGGTAACATATTTGGTTGATGAAGATATATTGTTGATAGTCCAGGTTGGTCCTGACCCCTGTCGGTTGAGGTTGATTGGCATATCTATCTGCGAACACAGCAGTGTGTTGGTGTGTGACGTGGATTTCATGGGCAATTTCGTCTGGTAAGTCCTTAGTGACGAGGGGGAGGGGGGTTGCCACGGTGGTTGCTGTTGAGGCTGCTTTCTGTGCGCTCTGCTGCGTGAAGGAGTTAGGCTTAGCTCCCGAGGGGTCCTCCGGGTCCTCCAGACACGGAAGGCAGGCCACCTGGTCCTTGGTGATCTGCATGGTCATGGCGAATATGGCCAGCATGAGCATGACCAGCCCCAGGTAGTCCATGAAGACGTCCCACCATGGCTTCAGGATGCGGTACGTCGGCTGGATGTCATTCAAGGATGCAACCTCAGTGAGTGTGAACATCACTGCAACGAATAGAAGAGTCTGTTAATATACTCTGCTTGTTTAAATGTTAGCATGTAAGAAAACGTCCACCAAATTAGAGATGAAACCAATATTTGATTAATCAATAAGTTGATCAACAGAAAATGAAGTGGCGACTATTTTGAAATTCCAAACATGCTCTTGTCATAGTTTCTGCAATGTGAGGTGAAATTGCGGCTTTTCTATCATTGTAAACCGAAATTGCAGCCCTACACCCTCTGATTACAAAGTCTGAACATAAACATTCCCTTAAACACTGAGACCCTTTACTTACAGTCATCTACTCGGAAACAAAACCGAAAAATTTAGAAATAACACGAGTTTCTAGAGCCCAAACCTACACAGGAAGTTGAAGCTTTCTGGGTCAAATCCACAGCATGTTGTCAAAAGTGGAAAGCTAGAAACACATTTAACCCCCCAGCTGTACAAGGTGTGAATGTGTAACTGTGACTGCACCGCTGAGTGCGCGTGTTCTCCATCATTTCATCTTGGTGTGCTACATTCAGCTCTCACGTGGCAGGGAAGTTTCATTCAGTAATGTTTTCATGATGTTTAAGCATGGAGTCCAGATTGTGCTCAATTCAGACTTATTTTAACATGCTGTTACTGGAACAGTGCAGAGCCCTTTGATGTGGGAAGAGGTCTACCAACTGTTTTGACTCACGAATACATTGAGCACTTATGGGTCACTGTGTTTTCCAATTTAGTGGACGTGGCGTTTGCTTGTATCATCTTTCATCCATTTACTGCTTCTAATCCACACAAACACAATCAAAATGATTCATGTGATTCTAGGAATAAGTACATTATCTGTCCATCATGATAATTTGCTGTTTCTTTAAACCCCGGGACCTGCACTGAAGAGCAATAGTTCTGCAACACATGTTCAATATTTCATACTGCACTATGCGCTGAGGCAGATGACCCATTGAACTGCACTCCAAAAAGGAGGTAGTTCTGAACGTTGCTTGCAAGAAAATCTACATTTAACTTTATATAAATGTTTAGTTTTTTCAAATAATATAATACTTCAAACTCCATCTTTCTTTTAATAGAATCTTTTTGAGGCTTCAACTGTAGTGTAAACATAGTGTGTTTTGATAAAACAAAAATACACAAAGTCACAATATACAATGCAGAAATGAGTTTCTACTTTGAGGGTGACACCCTTACATGTTATGTGACGGGCTAACAGTTGTTGACTCCCAGTGGCATTATCTTTAAAAGCCAGCAGTAAGAGATTAAAAAAGTATGGCTGATACGTTTCCTGTGTATTAATCATAATATGTTAATATCCTGAAATTCTTTCTCACAGCTAAAAAATAATTTTATTTCAGATCAGTTAAGTTTCAGTTGATCACTGAGATCCATCAGCCTCCAAACAAGCATTTAATATGCAGCATATGGCTCCTGCATATTAATCATGGATGTCTCAAGCATGAACGAAAGGTCACAAAGGTCTTGCAATGCAATTTTTATTCTGCAAATGAAGAATTTAAGAATATTTTTTTTCTACTTTGTTCACAAAGTCAAAGCAGCTTTGCTATTGGTTGACAGACTAATGTCGTGTTGCGTGTGAAGTAGTGGTGTGGTGCAATGTGTTACAGTGGGTCTTCACTACAGCCTGACTGATAAATCAGCGGGCTGATATTAACAGCTGATATAAGTTCATTATATATATTTTGTATCAGCAGATATGTAAGAAATCGCAGTACCAAAAAAACAAAGATGTCTGATGTCATTTAAAAGCACTGAGAACTAAATTGTTCATTGTTTTTGACCAAATTGACCAGATCCTGATAAAAAAAAAAGTATATATTTAAAAAAAAATATATATATGATTTATTAATTCTCAAATATCAGCATAAGCCTAAAAAAATAAAGTGTCTGTCAGGGTATAGTCTTCACATTTATTGTCCTATCTTATTACTGCTGGGCTACACCCAGTTAGTTAACTTCTTGTTTTGGGGAACTTAAAAGTCATATCTTCTCTCACTGTGACGTGAAAAGCAATCTGTTATGGTCACACCTATACAGCAGCACACATGGTTGTCACTGTAAAGATGGGGTTATGTTGGTGTTTTCTTTTAGTGCTCTGATATTCAATAATAGGCTTTTTCACGGAAGGCATCTTGACATGTCAGGGGAGTAAATAATTAAATGAATGATGGCTGAATGATATTTTACACGCTTAATGATCTATCTGGAGAATGCAGCAGCACAGGTGATGTTTGTGTATCGCAACAGTGACAAAGTTGATAGAGGCTCCACAGTGGTTTATAATGGTCAACCCTCCCCCAGTCTCTTCTCACTTAGCAGAGGCAACGCATCTAAACATGAAAAAAGCTGGAAAAAAGGGCTTAGTGTGTGGGGGGGGCCCAGGGGCAGAACAGTCCCCCTGCTCTGACAATGCTGCCCTGTACAGACTGCATACAACTGACCTCACCATGTGATAGTAGCCACTGTACTGCCTGTTAAGTGTTATTTCATTACGATAGATTATGGGGAGGGCTGGGCGGTATATCGGTTCAACCGGTATTTTAACACTAATAATTGTACATTTATAAAATTTCCCCGCCGAACTGCATGATGGGTACAGCTTGCTAACAACAGTCTGCTAACAACTGGGAGAGGCTCTGTCACTCCAGTAATGTTACATTAAAGAACAGAAAAGAGCGATGCAGGATGAACAAAGACTGAACAACAAAAGGTATTTTGGTTACACATATGCAGCGCTGATTAGCGTAACATGTGTGGTATTTGTTATAAATGTATGTTGGTACATAGAGGGTGATAAGAAGCTGTACTTGGAAGGGCTTAGGACACAGGGGAATGTAGGTGAAGGAAACAGGAAGTGACGGAACGGAAGACACGCCACACAAACAGCTGTTCACCGCTTGCTGGCCGGCCGGTTCTTTTCGGCGTTAATTAATTAATGCTTTAACGCCGAAAAAGAAATACCGTGAAACCGCCAGAATCTTACAAAATACCGTGATATGCATTTTTGGTCATACCGCCCAGTCCTAATTATGAGTTTAAGGATGGCAACAATTTAGTGTAAACTTAATCAAAGCCAAGTTTGGGCTCCAGACAGCAAGGAAATTGGTCACATGTGGCCATGTGGGAAACAGGCTGTATCGCTTATTTGTTATTCATTCACTGTGGGGTAGACTATTCCCCCACAAGAGGCAGTGCTCGAGGTAGGCCGGCACTTCAACATTTCACTCTTTGGCGCACCATGACTTTTTCTTGTGCACCGCCACTTATTTCAAGCTGCCGGTCCTGTTTTCTGCCCTCTTCATATCATGTTCTCTGGGTAAAACACGTGTGCTGTAATTTATCGATACAATGTTCACCTGATGTTTTCGTCATAACTTTGTTGATAATTTGTGAACAAATATAATTATATTATAAGTTTTCTGGAACTGTTCTTTCGATTTACATAATCTAGTTTTACAGGGCAAATATTTCCAGAAAAATTAAATGTTAAATGTTCAGACAAAGACGGTGATATGTGTCAATAATAACAACACTATTTAACTGTTTGTTTGCTTTTGGATTGTTATATATGGTAATGATACTGGTTCAAAATTATGTACAATTGCATTGTTTTAAGTCAAAAACCTTCAAATCTTCTTGGGGGAGGACCCCGAAAAACAATATCTAGTGTCTTTTATTTACTATAGAAATTCAGAATATATCTCTTTATCCTGCTGCATCATATGTGCGATCATCCTGAATTAAACCTGCTCCTAAAACTCAGCTGTGCATGCATACCTGTCTGTCTGGCAGGCTGAAGTTGATTCCAGGCTGTATACGCATCCTATAATATATCATAGAGCGATACTACAGGATACAAATAACACAGGGAAGCACTTTAAGTATTAACACATTGGGTAAACATACAAATACACCACCATAACCATATAACGTTTCAACTGGATTATTATAAGAGTATTATAGACCGACCATAAAAGATGCAAAGCCCAAATATAATAATAACCATAAAATCGCAACTAATTATGACAGGCACAGTATAACATGCTTAACGAAATAATAAATAGACAGGAATAAGTAGCAAGAGACTGCTGATGCTGACATGTGAATAAGGGAAGTACTGGCCCTTGTGTTTTCCACTTCAAGCACAGACAAGAGGAAATAAGACATGTTTGGGTAATGAAACGCTCACGTGAGGAGTTCTCGGGCAGTAAGTTCGCGGGTGTAGCGGGTCAGGTGACTTGTTGAAACATGTGAAATAGAGAATAATCATGTCTCCGCAGGCGTTAAATATTCACACCAGGTAACCAGTTTCTTATCTGGAAACCATTATCTACTCGGCCACGCGGGGAGAAACAGTATCAGTCAGGTTATTGATTATTAATTCAAAAAAAGAGGAAATGCGTTGGTTTAAAGTAAACATTCACAACATAGTTACGGTAACTATACTTACTGCCTGTGCGGCGTTATCTCAATCCAATTATTTCTTCCTCAGCCTGCATACCACTTTTCGCTCCGGTCGTCAGGTGCGCCTCTAACCTAATTTCTCAGCCCAGTTATAAACTGTGCGAATGACGCCGGTGCGTAAAACAAAGCACTGGAGAACATTTGTCCGTGACAGCTCCTATTGTCGTCAACATCCCTCATACCTGAGCCCCCGGGAAGCAGAGCCGGCTGCCTGGCTTGTATATTTGACAATATGCGCAGAAAGACCTCCAGCGCAATGTATTTCTAAGAAAAGGCAGATCCAATATGGAGCCGCACGGACCGCCGTTGTGGGTGTTATGGGTGCTTCTCATTGGTGGACGACGTTACGGCAACTTCCCGAGAACACGGCCTGCTGGTTTATCTGATGTTGCATTCAAGCCGTATGGGAAAACGTGATAAAGACGGAGCGACACAGCCAACCTGCTGAGCTAAAAAAAGAAAATGAGCTGAAAGTGCGCATTTTACCGACATTATGAGCCCCACTGTGACCCCCAGCACTCCGTGGGAGTACGTCCCATACGCACTTACGCAAACCATAGAGCAAAAATCGATTCGTTGATCTTTTGTTTTCTTCTTGCCAGCAGAAAGTAAACATATACGAGACCACTAAAATGGTCTCGCCGCGTATATGCTCATAATTTCAGTAAATTAAGTATTCAGCAAGAGGAACAAATGAGATGTAATTCAGAACAAAAACCTGAGGGGAATGCTATTAAAAATGAGCTTTGCAGGAATACCAACTGAAAACTGAGCTCTCTTGTCTCAGTTCTTCCCAGCGTTACGTGAACGCAGCACAGGCTTCTTCTTTGTTTCAGAGTAGCAGACACCACATGCATCATGGTGTTGAAATAACTTTACTCACTAATTAAGAATGATCATATTTGCCTTTTGTGCACATGCCACGTATTTAAGACGATGCCTTTTGTTTGTTAGAGTTAAGCTAAACTGTTATTAACATGTGCAACATTGTTAATATTATCTATCTGTCTGTCTATCTATCTATCTATCTATCTATCTATCTATCTATCTATCTATCTATCTATCTATCTATCTATCTATCTATCTATCTATCTATCTGTATTATTGGTATTGAGAAACTCAACAGTCAATAGGACCCTGTGTGCTGAAGCCATGCATCGTTTCCAGCTCTTTCTGGATTTGGTTGATGATGCACTGGGTGGAGGAAGTGTCTCCTCAGTTGCAACCCATACAGGTTTCAACCGGTCCTGGGCTGCTGGCTGCAAGCACTCTGTTCTTACTCGCGCTACCCTTGTACTTTGAGAGAAGGAGGGGGGAAAAAAGAAAGAGAAGCAGGTAGTGAGAGCGTGTAGTGCGTTAGTCTGGCAGGTTACAAGATCAGATGTGGAGGTGGCGTGTGACCATACATAAACACAAGCAGAACTAGGACACAGATGATTTTATCCGTGTTCTTTACAGGCTCTGCAATAGTGTTTTTGCAATAGAGCCAAATATTTGCTTAGAGTTGAGTAGGGCAGTCTTTTGATAGCTGAGTTTATAGTGGCTCCCTTTAAGAATCCCAAACAAAGACAGGGTAGACAAAGTGAAGGAGAAAAGTAGTGGAGTAGTGGATGTGAACCCACTTAACTTCACTGGAGCCTCATGAATTGTTTTCAAGCAGTTCCCAGTAACTCCCTCCACAACTTGTTGCCACAACATTGTATGCAGTAAAGGTTTGTATGACATAAATGCTGATGTGAATTTGGTCAATGACTTTAAAGCATTAGTAATACTGCTAATGACACTGATTCGGATTACGATAACCTACAGATGTTTATCTGACTGCGGCGAGACATATGGTTGGTGTGGTGAGGTTACAGGAAGGAAAAAGCTATAAAGATTTAATGGTTTGGTTTGTTGTCATACTGGGCAGTAAGAACAGTGGTTGGACAGTATGGGGTTTCCTGGGGGTGATGGGGTCAACAGCTGGGGACCATAGACACCCCTGGCAACCAGCTCAGTGCGTTGAGAATTGCCTCAATGAGATATAAATAATTCAGCATGGACCTCCCTCTCTGATTTGTAAAGAATATGCTGGGTAGTATCACGCCAACAAACATTAGCTGGTGGTTTAAATGCACACCAGACAGACACATGTGAGTTCTGTGTGTGGAAGTAGCAAAAAAATGCACCATTATTCAATTTTAGACCAAAGCCACAAACCAACAACAAACGTGTTTCTATGGTAATTCATTTCCTGTAAGCACGATAAGCAGACAATAATTGTCTCACCCACACACCCAGTGGAAATTCAGTATTAGGTCAAGGTAAGTGTTTGGTATGTAGTGGGGAGAATGAGTGTGTGTACCAGTGTGTGTGTGTGTGTGTCAAATAACAGACTACGCCAGACGTTTGCGGCTGTTTGCTTGCATGTGTGAATCCTTTGTTATTACTTGACATACAGCATAGTCATGAAGAATGATGATGTGGTGTAATATGATGTTGCAGTTGGGAAGTTGCTGAGGCATTGAGGTAGTTAGTACTGTGTGAGTTTTTGTATGTGTGTTTGAGACAAAGAGAGAGCGCCGGAGAACACATCTGACTCCAGCATACTGATCTCTGCTTGCCTTCGTTTTGTTTGATGTAACTGTGATATCTCTCGTGCTGTGACTTGTTCATGTTTATGCAAGTTTAGTTTCCACAGTCTTGTTAAGTCCAGCAGCGGTTTTGTATCATGAGTGGTATCCGAAAACATGCATTAAAGATATGTGAATGCTTCTCAGGGACACTTCAGACGAATCAGTTGCAACAGTGTAGTAAAGGAAATAGAATAGCTTGTGATGCATATGTTTTACCCACATTATTTCCAAATCAGAAGCTGTAAACGAATACATTTGGCTGTTGCTTATCATTTGCAGTCGGGATGAGATGGCTAGTTTTCACCAGGCCAGAATCACTTGCACTGGACCCAGACATCAACATCACTTCGAGCTGCCAACACTTGCCAGACGTCGGATAACATTGCCCAGATGCTGAATACTCTGCAAAATCGGACAAAGATCCGTGTTGGTTGAGTCTCATTTTACTATTCAAACACGTATGATCCCATAGTTATACGTTTCAGTATGTTGCACCACTGAGAGAGAGATCAGTGCCAAATGATCTGTCCATGAAATCTTATCACTGTAATGAGTCAGTTATTTAGCTCCACCTGCTGTTGTCTCGATGCACACTGGCATTCTTGACTGGCACTGGTTTAGGTAGTGATAATGCATTACAATCTTCCAGTTAACTTTTTTTTCTAAAATAATTTTCTTAAGAAATACGTTTTTAGAAATAAATGTTAGTTGCTGCACATGCTATAATTAATGTGTTATTCATGTTTATATGATAGTTATTTCAAATGTGCAATTTGCAGACGGATGTAGATTTGTCATTCTGTTCCAAAACCTAACCAAATCAAGTGACTCTTTGTGTCATTGTGTGGTTTCCTTCACAGGCCTGGGAAGTATGATACAGAGGAGCAGTCACAGACTGGTACAGAGTAAGAGACACAGGCTGGCACTCTCAGACATCAATGTCACAGACCCTTTTTTCATAATCGGGCTACTTAGGATAGTACAGTTTAGGTATTCCTTGTGGCAGTACAGAAGTTTTAAATGGTCATTTGTCATGAAAAACACAAGCATTAATCTTGCTGTTGTTAGTTAGTTAGTTAGTCATATATATATAGGCCTGGGAATGTACATATATAGTATAAATTATATAATGCTTTCATATATATATTATATATATATACATATGAAATCATTGATCTTGTTTTGTAGGTTAGTCAATAGGCTACTAAGTGCTTAGTAAGTTCTGTTACTTTATAACTTTCTCTCTTTCTCTCTCTTTCTCTCTCTCTCTCTCTCTCTCTCTCTCTCTCTCTCAACAAAACATGTTATGCAAACGGAAGGATGTTTCGACTAGTTTGAGCCTTATGGCTCGCCATACTTCAACGGGACTCGTGATCAGAAAAAGTTATAAATAGAGGTGGAGCATTCGATTGTTTCTTCGACACACAGGCGGAGAGAGGAGCAACATGGCGTCGACAAGCCGGTGCGTAGCTGCGTTAACCAAATATTCCCCTCTTCCTTCTTCATGTGGGCTCTCAGAATGTACATTTGTAAACGTTATCGAGTCAGACATGACATATGTTACGTCTTTATTCCCACTGTCAGCGGTATGTGTGAGGTGTATTTTGCTCGGTTACTGCCACTTTGCTATCGTTAGCCAAATTAGCTGCCTAGCGGTTAGATGTTGCCAGAAGTCACTCTCTGTATCGCCGTTATATTATCTCACCGCTGTGCTGGTGCTCAATACCGTCAGTTGATTATCACGTTAACGTCGCTTCGCGGCTTGTTTTTCGTCGCTTCGCAGCTTGTTTTTCGCCGCTTTAGCTCTTTTTGCGGCTAACAACAGGTAACGGTAATGCTAACGTCAGAGTAGTTTGAAGAACATATGCCTTCATATTGCGTTGCACTCGCTTTGAAGCTAGCGGTCTATTTAGAGAAATACTAAAACAAGTTCGTCTGGATTTTTTGCAATATGTAAATTCACAGTAGACAGTGGAAAGTTTAGATGCATAATGATGTAATGTTTCTGATATCACGCCCTTTAGGTCATCTGTTGTGCTTTCCACACATCATCGTGACGTGTGGGCTTAGCTAGCTAGTTAGTTCAGGGTTCAACGTAAACATTATTTAAAAATTATGCCTGAAACTATTAGTCGATAAATCAGCTATTTGTATATATAATATATTTTATTTTATTAGTTTGTGCACATCCTTTCTATCTCGAAATACACTTGCCACTTTTATAATAGACTTGTTTTAACGTATTTATTATAAATTTGAATATTCTATTTTTCAATGATTCCTCGATTGTCGCACTGTGTTCATTGTTTGTTGTTATGCACCCTTCACCAAGTCTACTTCCTTGTATGTGTAACGTACTTGGCAATAAGCGGTGCTGATTCTGATTCTAAGATTATTTATTTACAAGTTAAAACCCAAATATTCTGTGACTCCAGCTTTAATGTGAGGGTTTGGTTCTACATAGCTGTAGATTTGATATCGTGGACATTTTAAAGACGACAATTTAATTTCTGAGATTTTTTTTATTGCCTTTTTATACACAAAACAATTGAGAAAACAATTCGCAGATTAATCAATAATGAAAAGAATTGTTAGTTTCAGCCCCAATTAAGACTGTGATGCTTCTTAACTACTGGCTGCTGTTAGGCTTTGCCTTCAGGTTGTTATGCAACTGCTGTTGACTCAGTTCATCATGGATTAATACTAGTATGACCTGTTATAATCTTTGATGATGTTTTACTTCATGTTTGCGTTGCATATTGACATTACTCGGTTCAGGCACTTTTGAGCTTTCAGTCTGCTTTCCCTGGGTATTTCTTCTCAACAACAAAAGGAAGAAAGTAAAGTGCTAAATGTAACATTATGTATTTAGATCTTCTTCCCTGTGGTATTTAAAAGTCCTACTCTGCTGGCAGTTTAAATCTTCATTATTACTTCCAGCTCTTGCAGATGAGACCTCAGCTTGAACTCTCTCGCTCTCTCTTTAGCTCACCCCATGCCGGTCTGCCTTCATTTTCCTCCCTTTTTTCCATCTTTTTCTTTCCATTTGAGCTGTTTGATCACGTAACTGTTCTGCTTTTGTAGCGGAGATGGCCTGACCCTTCCAAGAGTTCAGTGTCCCAACCACCCTGATGCCATACTGGTGGAGGACTACAGAGCAGGAGACATGATCTGCCCTGAATGCGGCCTTGTAGTAGGTCAGTATACACAATGATTATGTGCACTTTTATCGTATTTATTATAGAGTTTTCAGTGTTTGAACTAGTGCTGGGTGGTATACCGATACGATATTAATTTTGCATATAACGCCACATCGGAGAATAGCCTTTAAGAGCACTGGGGTTGGGAAAAGTGGGGAGTACGTTGAGAGGGAACCCCTAATAACTGCATACTCTGTCCAAGAGAAGAGCTGTGTCTGATTTTGGGAAGTTTTTCAGTTTTAAAAAATCCACCGTAACCACTGTTGTAGCAACTTCCGCCACATAAGCACAAAATGTTTTGGAATACAGACATTGTGATAATGGTCATCGGATTTGAGGCCCGTGGGTAGCGCCAGTGAACCAGCAAAGCCAAACATCGTTTAAAGAGTAATTTACTCGAGTTGTTGCAGATGAGAGGAAAAGCAAGTGATGGAGCGACATTATGAACGCAATAAAGATCCACCTTTCCTAGGACAAAGGCTGGTTCAGTGCAAAAAGCACAGATATAAAGCGTATGAAGAAAAAAATCCGTTCAACATGTGATGCAGATTGTGAGACAAAGCTGTAGGGAACAACCAGCTCTCCTCTAACGAGCCCCCCCGAGCAGACACCAGGTCAGGTGGGACACGAGAGACGCCAGCTGAAGGGCCCTCTGTTCCTGCTGCCATAGCTTTGGCTGTCCTCGGAAGGAGATGAACGTCATTTTTCCTCGAGATGTTAGAGAGTTATGTATGGGGAAAAAAAGCCTAACAGGATTAAAATATCCGAAATCTAATCTTCGGCTCGGCTACACTGTTCCAAGAACAGGCATAACGTGGTAACCAGCAATATGTCCGCCTTTGTCACACCCGTCATCCTTTTGAACATCTCCGATTTGATGCAATTGAATGACTGAACATTTGTTTAGATCATATTTTATTATGCATTTCTACCTCACAACAACCACAATGAAGAGAAAATGAGAAAGAAGAGAGGGATGATGTGTGAGATGTTAAGCTAGATTCAGAATACTGTACAGTAGTAAAACTTAGAGGGCTGTGGATGAGCTGATGAAATACAGTACGGAAGGATTCAAACAATATTTACATTATCTGAGTCTCTGAAGATGTCTTCTCATGAGGGACTTTGTGCTGAATATGGCACCATCTTCTGGTTAATTACTCCAGAGGGATTTATTACAGACATACAGAAGAACACAGGAAAAGCATTTTGTTTGTATGTGCAGGTTATTCACATTAATCAAACTACCATGTCTGATTTGTTGTTACGTTTCACCTCTCGTGTGTCATTGACGAATAGAAGGAAACGTGTTTAGAGCAGCAGGTGTAGACATCGGTGCACAATGATGAAAAACAAGACGGATTGAGTCTGTAAAGGTCTTCAAACCAAAACTCTGGGGCCAAATGTATTACAAATATTAAATGTCTGTTTTTAAAGGTCTTGTGGAAAGTGAAGATGTAGTCCCGAGGAGAAAAACTTTGTTTCTTGTGTTGGTGCTTGGGCTAAAAAAAAACATACAATGAACGTTTAAGAAGTTGATCTTGTGCTTTAGGTTTAATCTATTTATTTAAAATTGTCATACCATTTGTCCTCAGGTGACCGTGTTATCGACGTAGGCTCAGAGTGGAGAACGTTCTCCAATGAGAAAGCCCTCAAAGATCCCTCCAGAGTGGGAGACGCCCAGAACCCGCTGCTCAACGGGGGCGACCTCACCACCATGATCAGCAAGGTGAGGAGCCCGTAGTTATCGTTGAGCCATGTTTGTAGTCGGGTTTAAACTACAGCTGTTTCAAGAAGCTGCAGTTCAAATGGTTGTAAGTTCTTCATGAGATATTTAAGCCATTCAGATGTCCAGTGGAGTAAATGTTTTTGGACTACCGTGGTCAGATGTGCATGTACAGCGAACGCTGGCAATGAAAGTTTTGATAATTATATCAGCATTTTCTGCTTTTATATTAATATTGTCTGGGGCAGATTACCAGTAGTGAGTTTGGGTCACACAGTGGTTCAGAGCGCTGCAGTAAACATGTTCCTCAAAGTTATCATGGCGTCTCTTGAAATAAGACGACGGGGAATGTTACTGATAAACATCCACCGTTTCCACCACAGGGAACCGGCGCAGCTAGTTTTGATGAATTCGGTAACTCCAAGTACCAGAACCGGCGGACCATGAGCAGCTCTGACCGGGCCATGCTCAACGCCTTCAAAGAAATCAGCACCATGGCCGATCGCATCAACCTGCCAAGGAACATCATCGTAAGTAAAAAAGATCCTTAAACGAGTGTTGCTAAGCAGTCAAAATACAAAAGCTGTACCACATTAGAGAGAAATGCAAACCACGCAGCTGTGGCCAAAACATGGTGAGGAAGGGAACAAGAGAAGTGAAAGTGAACTTCATGTGCTAGTTATGTAATTCTGTGTAAGTTCTGTGGTTCATCATTGAAGTGGAAACTAAACTGCAGACCAGAGTTTAGATGTTCGTGTGTGTGTCTCCAGGATAAAAGGGTACACGAGGTCTTTAAGCTCCAGACATGGCCTCAATAATGTACATGACGATGACGATGATAGTAAAATTGTATTTCATTAAAGACAAACAGAAATAGAGAGAATATGCGATTAAAGGAGTTACGTATGCAGGCACACACAGGTTAGCCTCACTTACACTCGGTCTTCATGACTTGCCATCTTGTTTTAGTTCAACAACATTAAAAATAGTGTTTAAAAAAGTCTAGCTCAATTTATATAGATGTTTATAATTCACCTTCCAAACACTGTTACAGCAAACACTTTATTTGGGGTTTTGTGTACATGTGATTGTATTAAGGAAGCTTGTCATTAAGACCTTTTTATTATAGAGATGCAAATAATGTTTCTGTAAATGATGTTTTTGCTCTGCAGGACAGAACAAACAACTTATTCAAGCAGGTTTATGAACAGAAGAGCCTGAAGGGCCGAGCCAACGATGCCATCGCCTCGGCCTGTCTCTACATCGCCTGCAGACAAGAAGGTGTACCGAGAACATTCAAAGGTCACAACAAACACTTCTATTTTATTAAGCTCTCTGACATATCATTAGGGTTACGACCGCTCTTGAGGAACGATTGACGGCTCAAAACTAATTGTGGTACCTACTAATATATTGTAACGAGTAACACAAGTCCTTTGTTGACAAAACACCTCTGAGACAAAAATCACTCAGAAATGTAAGAATTGTCCATTAAATTATGTTAGTGCAGTGGTTCTCAAACTGTGGGGTGTGCCCCTCTAGTGGGACGCGGAGGTATTGCAGGTGGGGCGCAGGGGGAAATGCAGAATTTTTTTATTTCAAGAACTTTATTCATACCTGCAAACTTGTCGCTTTTTGGCGAAATTCGCCGTTTTGAATCAAAATATATCATCCACGTGAATCATGTAGATCCGTAGAGGGTTTTTTTGGGGGGGGGGGGGTCAACTGGCCAGCCAGCGTTTCTCAGATTCCACACAGAAAGAAATGTCTGGAAGGATGTTTCTTTGACGGCTCTCCTTCCCGACACAGAGATCTGTGCCGTCTCTCGGATCTCCAAGAAGGAGATCGGAAGGTGCTTCAAGCTGATCCTGAAGGCGCTCGAGACCAGCGTGGACCTCATCACCACCGGAGACTTCATGTCTCGTTTCTGCTCAAACCTGGGTCTGCCCAAGCAGGTGCAGATGGCGGCCACCTACATCGCCAGGAAGGCCGTGGAGCTCGACCTGGTGCCCGGCAGAAGCCCCATCTCAGTGGCTGCAGCCGCCATCTACATGGCCTCCCAGGCCTCCGCAGAGAAGAAGACCCAGAAGGGTGAGTGCTCTAATGATACTATTGATGGACACGTTTTGTGTCGACACCAGAGGTGGAAAAAATGTGTATTTGGAAGTTGTTTTGGCCATATAGGTTTTCAGATTGAAGAGTTGAAGCTGGTCTTCGATGTGTCCACAGAAATCGGGGATATCGCCGGTGTTGCAGACGTTACGATCCGACAGTCATACCGACTCATCTACCCACGCGCTGCAGAACTCTTCCCTCCAGACTTCAAATTCGACACACCTGTCGACAAGCTGCCCCAACTGTGAAGACGTTTTTCTGCTGTACTTACAGGATTGTATTCTCTTTAAAAAATCACGATTGTGTTGGGTTTGGAAGATTTCCCTTGTCCCTCCTCAGACTTCTTGCCTTTTGTCGAGGCGTCCTCACAGGAATAAAACGGACACATTCCAGTGCTTAATTAAACAGCTTGCAGACTGTTCTTACAGTATTTCATTTGAGTGTATATACTGAATCATGTATATATGTCCAAGTTGGAAAATGTAATTGATGCTTGCAATTTTAGGCTGGTTTCATACTGTATACATAATACTTTTGTTTTTGTAGAAAAATGACCTGGTTCGAATTGTTCCAAGTAATTTAAAAGATTTTCATTAAGGCATGGTAATGAGCTCAAGGTTTGAATAACATTAAATATTTGTTTACATTGAACCTGTTTTACTACTCTGGTCTTTCAAAGATTAAAAACTCTTTGTGAGCTCTGAAACACATCGAAACTTCCTCACAATGAGTTTCGAGCGTGAACAAAAGGCAGATTAGTTTCTAAACACCCAGAGTGTATTCATTGACGGGTACAAATAAAAGCAAATCCACTATTACAAATGTTTAATTTGTGCATTTATGATGGGCAACTGCAGAAATGCCTTTTTGTTTTGTTTTTTACACCGGTGATTTGCAACAGTTGTGACTGAGTATTTGTGTACCATCTATAAAGTCTTCTTCTGTTCTGGCAACATGCACAAGCAAAGAATAAAAAACAACTTTGTACAATCTATTTTCATCATTAACAAATGTAGATAATTAAAACTAGATACAATTAGTGCTTTCAGCTTGTGTACATACAGTATGTATATATAATATACCCGGCCCTCCCCTGTAGTGATTCATATCAACAGCGCTCCAACATTTGAGTCACTTTATATTTAACATGCAAATGAACACGTCATCAGCTGGTTCCTCTGTGCCGGATTGAAAAATGTAACTGATCACAGAACAGCGTGGGCAGCATTTAAATGACATGACAGAAACCTGGAATAGCTGAGTTTCATAGGTTCCCAAATAACAGCTCAGCGCTTTATGGATTTCTGCACAACACATCTTTGCTTCTAGTCAGTCCATCCATCAGATATTTTGTTACAAGAGGTTTGTCTGCTGCTTCAAGACGGACAGGAGGAATTTGGTTTCGATAGCTTTTAACTGCAAAACACTTTCACTGAGGCAACAAGAAAAATGCTTTCAGGTTCACCACAACCAGATGTTCACTTAGGAAAACAATTGACATCCAACTGAACTTAGCTCTAAAATAATAACTCACTTGTTTGATTTTATTGCTCCAAAAGATACGGCACTACAAAGTGGCAGAACTGAGGTCAACTGAATATCTACAGAGCCACTAGAGGGCCTCAGACAGCCGAGAATATTAAATATTTAGCATTTCTTCCGGCCAACAGGCCTTTTAAATTATCAAATTTCCAACAACAGTAATGTGTTTCATTTAATTTAACACTAGATGGAATATTGTTTTATAGTCAAAGAATATTATTATTATGTGGGTTATTGTATGCAGACCTGGAAGCAAAGTGAGAAAAAAAAAAAAAGTGTTAAACCAGATTGTGGACAAAGATTGGGCCCCTAGACAAAGAGGAGCTCAGGGTGATAGGGTGATGACCCTTTCTTTGATTTCAAGTCGAGAAGCAGCAGCCGTAGTAGTCAAGATGTCTGTAGTTGACCGCTCAGTGAGAATGCTTTGAGCACTTCAAAATGTACAGTGAGATTAAATGTCCATAAACTGTGGCGAGGGCTTTGCAAATAAAGGAAAACACACAAAAATAAAATATATATACGACTGAATATAATCTGTACAGATCAAAAAAACAACAACTGACGACAGTGACGCTGAATAACATGATTGTGATGTTGCCGTCTTCTCAGAGTTCATATGAAAAACATTCTCAGTGGTCAGACAATGGACACGACGACAAGGTGTGCAGGAGGACAAAGCATTCCTCCTCGTTCACTCTCAAACAACAGAGTTTCTTTTGTTTTCTTTTTCTTAAAAAAAAAAAAAAAAAAAAATGTTCTTCATGTGGATTAAAAAATAAGTGGGAGTCCTCTGGAGGCTTCTGGACTTTTCTTCTCAATGGCACAAAGTTTTGCCCGGAAGGCTTCGGGGAGCCGCCGCGCTCGATGCTCCCTCCTCAACATTTTGGGCAAGGATGAGGAAAGTTTTTAAAAGAAATGACGTGAGCTACAGTCATTGCTGTGTTGGTTGGTTCACAGTGTGTGTGTGTGTGTGTGTGTGTGTGTGTGTGTGTGTGTGTGTGTAGACGGGAAGCTAACACCAGTCAGCGATGTAATCAAAGTCAGAGAACATGTTCTGCTCGTCGGAGTTCAGCGGTCGGGGTTCCCTGGGCGGGGTTAAGATCGGAGCCTCTGAGGTAAATTCATCATCGAAGTTGCTGACGTCGTTGGCATCGTGAATAGTCGGCACGAACGGCGGCTTCACCTTCTTAGCCAATAGTCCGTTCCAATCCATGTTCTGCCAAGAAACACAGAGGCTCACGTTAAAAACATTTGTTTTCTTGTTCATTACTAAACGGATCGTGCAAATGGTGATTCCGTTTCTTACCCTGAAGAATAGATGTTTCTTAACCTCCTCTGCGTCCTTATCTCCTGCTCCCAGTCGTCTTTCTGGATTCCTTCTTAAAAGCTGAGCACAAGGAGAAGCAGATATAGAGTGAATATTAAACTGATACACAACCAGGGACACACACACACACACATCCACGATCACCGAATCCTTCCTTCTCAGAGCATCACTACACACCCTCCTCATGATGGAGATGGCCTCGGTCGAGAGGAATCGTGGGTAGCGGACTTCATCGTTGACGATGCTGTCAAACACCTCCTCCTCATCGTCACCGGGGAAGGGCGACTGAAAACAGGACAAAATGAAAAACAGGAAGACGTGACAACTGCTGCTGAATTTGACTCCCTGACATTCAGCATGAATCAAATGGAGTCACAGAATGCAACGACACAAGGTTACTGAACGTTTGTTACAGCACTCACCTCCCCAACCAGCATCTCAAAGATGAGGACGCCCAGCCCCCACCAATCCACAGCACGAGTGTACGACGTTTCAGTCAAAACCTCAGGAGCTAGAAACTCCGGCGTGCCACAAAACGTGCTGGTGCGGTCCTGGAAACCCATTCCTGAAAGCAACACAGACGCCGCTTAATAACGAAACAATGTCCTTAAAACTGTCACTACCTCTCTCGTTTGGGAACACCCAGAACTGATATGTTGAGAATATTCAGCGCGGTGGTTTTCATTTTGATGCTGCAAGATATTGGTCAGGAGATTCCATTTCAATGTTCTTGTTTAATCTAAAAAGGTAAAAAAGCCTTCAGTATAATGTGGTTCTCCATTTTACCTTCTTTGCAAAGCCCAAAGTCAGCAATCTTTACATAGCCCTCTGTGTCCAGGAGCAGGTTATCCAGCTTCAGATCTCTGCAAAATTTAAAAAAAATATGTGTTGAGGACTTCATGCTCCCGACAGATGTGGGACTAAATGAATGACTTTACTCAAACTGCTTACCTGTACACAATCTTATGGTCATGTAAGAACTGTAATCCCAATACGACGCAGGCTGCATAAAATCTGCACGGGAACAAAACAGCCACTGTATTAGATTACAAGTATTACACACTGAGAATTCCTATTGAGACGTTAGCCCCGGGCCATGTGAGACGCTCACATGGCCCGAGGCTCGGAGAAAACATCAGCGTGGATGTGCATCATCAGGTCGCCTCCCGCTGCGTACTCCATGACAAAACAAACGTGCTCCTGCGTCTGGAAACACGCAAACAGGTTGACCAGGAACGGGTGGCGGACGCTGTTGACCGCTTCGAAAATCCTCTTCTCGCACATCAGACTGGCAAAGAGAAGAGGAGGAGGAGGCCGTGTGAGTTACAGCAGCGCTTCCAAGTGCAGCCTTGCAGTGTATTTGGCTGAGGAGAACTTTAAAGCATTTACCTGTCCACCTCATCGCGGGCCACAATGTCTCCTTTCTTCAGCGCTTTGATAGCGAACATCTCACCTGTGCTTTTGTATTCTGCTAACAACACCTGAGGAGGGGAGGCAGAGGAAAGTTACAGCTTCTCAAACGTGAGGATTTGGTGCTTTTCATTTTCACATTTGAGAAACAAACGACTGTCGGCCACATAAATCAAGCAATTTAAAGATGTCATCTTCAACTCTAGGAAACTAGCATTTTTACTACTTTCTGGTCATTTTTAGACAATACAATCAAGCAGGGAAAATAAGAGACAGATTAATTGATAGTGAAAAGATCAAATGAAACGTACCTTTCCAAAGTGACCACGTCCGAGGACCGCCACACATTTGAAGTCTTGGAGACTGAAGTGGAACTCATCTTCCTCCCTGGAAAGGAATCGGTGTTTGTATTAGTTTCCATTGTGAATGAATGTTGAGAAGACGGTTAAACTCAAAGCCAGGGGGCAGTGTCAACACCCATGTTACTATTTCAGCCCAGTCAGAACATCAGGACTGAGCAGATGGTGTCAAAGAGTGAAACAACAAAAAGCAATAATGGTGACACACCCTGCTCAAAATAACATATCAAGATATTCTTCTCTTCATTTGAAATGTACTTGAAGCTTTGACAGGACCACAGACGAGATGAGCACACGGCTCTCCTACCTTATCTCAGAGTCTTTCGGGATGGCAATGAGCTCCAGGTCCGGATGCTGCATCTCCTGCTCCACCAATCCGTCCAGGTCTGGCTTCACCGCCATGCTGTTCCTGTTGTTCAAGAAGTCAAATGAGGCGAGTGCATCCTGCAGAGAGGGAAGGATAGAACGGTGAAGAAATGTAAGGTTTAGGTCAACTAGAAAATATGAAGAATTATTTACTACTGGAAAACGATAGTTGCATCCGTTGTGTCTTCATATTAATAATCACAAATACGCTTTGACAATCACTATATACTAAGATCTGCAGGACTCCATTCATCTGCAGGGACAAATAAATAATGGAGAACATTTTGTTGTTAAATTAAATTAACCATCCATAAAACGACATAGTTTAGTCTTACACAGCCTGTGACTATTACTCCACTAAGTGCTTCTTTGGTTATGGATGATGATCAGAGGTGACACACGTACTGAGGGGAACATGAGCCAATAAATAAGAAAGGTCTTATTTGAAGTTTTTTGGTTTATATATCCATGTGGCTACCAGAGCATTTTATGAGAAGACAGCGGTCAAAAACTGTGTATCGTTTTGTTTAGCTCACCCCAACATGAACTGACTTTATGAATGTCTCTCACACAATACCAGTACTTCCTCAATGTACCTGTACCTCCTCTTTGTCGGGCATCTTGTCCTGCACCAGCGGTTCTCGGTTGTCGTCGGGTGCTGGGTAGTGTTTGGGTCCTGGGGTGGGCTCTTTGTCAAAGTCCAGCTTGGTCACCAGCGGGTCACTGTGAATCGGCAGAGTTGTTGATTAGTTTTGAACAGCCTCAGATGTGTATGTACGAGGATGTGTGTTTTAGTACCTGCAGGGTGTGGGTGAACCAGGCAGGCTGCTGGTCCCAGTCTCAGACGCCTGCGGGCTGAAGGAGTTGGTGCTGACGGTCGGTATGGCTCTTCTCACCAGGCGGCCCCAGGTGGCGATGTTGATGTTCATCTGAGGGGCTCGCAGGAAGGTTTTACCTGATAACGAAGAGGCAAATGAGACAAAGAG